TTTTTTTTTTTTTTTTTTTTTAGTTGTCAGTTAATGCAGGGTGTTTTCTGGCATAGATCTCTCCATCACTTTGCAATCTCTCTGACTATCAGTAGTTCCTGATCTGAAATCTTCCTTTGGATTTAATTATGTAGGGAAGCCCTGGGGACTGTAAATTGCTAGAGAGATAATTTTATAATGAAAGATGGGTTAAACAGATTATTTTGCTACTTGTAACTGCAGGTGGTATAAAAAGCTTACATCATATCCAGGAAAATTTCATCATTTTTCCCCTATTAAATTAAATTATAATGGTTAAGCATATAGAATCATAGATTTGGAAGGGATTTGGAAGGAAGCCATCAAGTCCAATCTCGTGTAGAAGAAATATCTATTGCAGAATTTAGTATTTTACTGTATGTTGTAAAAATAATATTTAGACACAATTACTTCAATCTGGTAGAGGTCTAGAGAATCACAAAATCCATTATGAAATACCATCTTATTACTCTCCACATTAACAAACACTCCACATATGAAGATATTCAGATCACTGAGTTATGCAGAAGGATATGAAATATCTGTGATTACAATATGAAAAGAACTCCTGCGTTATCATCTTCTAGCTGTTAGAATCTAGCATCAGAAATTTATCTCTCTGAAATATTGAAATAGTTGGAAATCTGTGGAATGTAAGTATTTGAAATGTACAAATATACAGTATGGAAGTGACCGAAGATAGCAGCTTAAGGCACTGAAATGTAATTGTTATGCCATGGAAAGAACTGACTACAAATGTCCACATATGCTTTGTTTGCAATGAGAATGTGTAATTGTTATGCCATGGAAAGAACTGACTACAAATGTCCACATATGCTTTGTTTGCAATGAGAATGTGTAATTGTTATGCCATGGAAAGAACTGACTACAAATGTCCACATATGCTTTGTTTGCAATGAGAATGGGTGAAGTTGAAAAGTATTTTGACTCAAACATTTAGATATTCATACACACACACGCACACGCACACACATACACACACATATCTTTTTTAGTTGACAGTAACAAAACAATTTGATTGTTTCACTTCTATGTTTCTGATTTTCAGGTTATCTACCTTCACAACAACAAAATTGCTGCCATTGGCCCTAATGATTTCTGTCCTCTTGGATACAATAGCAAAAAAGCTTCTTATTCAGGAGTAAGCCTGTTTAGTAACCCTGTGCAGTTCTGGGAAATTCAGCCATCTGCGTTCCGATGCATCTATGAACGATCTGTAATACAACTTGGAAACTACAAATAAATGCACAGAAGTGTTTCCACTTAAATACCTGTTGCTTTTTAAAATTGTTGGTGACTATTAAAGCCAAATACTGAAGACTTAACTGCAGAGTGGAGATTATTATGTTTGTAAAAGACCCAAGAGATCATTTCCAGAGAAAAATAGCTGAATTCACTGTGTTTTTACTTCATCAACAACACATGATATAGTTTGTGGTATCTTCCCATTAGGTGAGCACAACAGATTTTTCAATATTCCACTGTGCATGAGATCTGGGAGTAAATATTGGTCGAGCTTTTTATAATTAGGAATTATGAAAGCACATTTTTACTCTGCAGTGACCCACAGAAATTACTTGGAGGAAAAAGAAATAAAGCATAATTTTTCTTAAAAAAAAAATCAACCAAGTCTTAATGAACTCCCATCTGTTTAAAATTTAAAGCATAAGTGCAGGTATCAAAATATCAGATATACAGATAAGCAATATAGAAATGTTGCTTTTGTTAATATTTTTGGTTAAAATGCTATTTTAATATATGCTTATTTTCTTTTCTGAATATGTTTAAATCTTCCCAGATAATTTATGTACAATTAGGAAAATATTCTACAGCTCAAAATACACTCCTAGCCCTGGCTTTTTCTAGAAAGAAATAAGAATTTTTGTGAGCCATGGCTACTGAGGCTTTCATTGGATTCCCCATGGAATAGAAATGGTGCTGCCTCGCCCGGCCTGTAATGAAGGTCACCAAGATCTGTCATGTCTCATTAGGTAATTGAGGTTGCAACTAAACATTAGGACATCAGCATCAGGGAAAGGACTTGTAGCCATGTCCCCAACTTTCTGCTTCATTCTCCAATTCTCCATTCATCCCTACCTTCTAGAAGACACAACTAATGGTTTTAAAGTGAAAATTGTTTCTCCCTGTTCACACAATCACTGCTCTTGTTCATAATCTGCTAAAAGTATTCCAATGCAATTCCCATTAATTTGAGAGTCTTTGAGAAAGTACTCTGTGGATTGTGACCAGTAAATCTGCAAGCATGTATAAATTAAGCAAGATTGGCCTACTACATTAATAAATTGCTCTTAAATGCAACAATGGACATTCATCTACTTTAATTTGAATTTTAACACTGTTCTCAAATGTAATGTAAAGAGATATCCAGATTATTTGTTTAGCAATACCTAGACTTACAATTAGGAACAGGGGAACATCAACTGGCCAGAAGTAGAAGAGCATTATCTGAAAATATTCTTTTAAAACACATCTGAAAGCAAACTTTATTTTTATATCTCTATAACTGGTTTTATTCAGTAACAAGAATATAAAAAAATGGCTGTACATTTCTGGGATTCTTGTCTCCAAATTTAACTGTATTTCTTTCAACATGACACATTAAAGAAAAGTTTGGATACCTCTTAATTGTTCAAAATACAGTATTTTCAATGTATGTATGTTTTATATTAAACAGTACTGGCAAACTCCAAAATCCTGGTGTGTGTTATGTAGGCTCTGCTACCCAAAGCAGTGAAAGGCACAGTTGTTTTCTAGTCCCATTCAAAGCAATGAGTCCAGTTAGTTATAATATAGTCTGAATCCAGTTCTTCATAAAATGAAATAGCTGGAGTTAAAATCTTGATTATCACGTGCCTTAAGAGATGAAAAATACAGTACATACGATATAGTTGTTCATTAAAAAGACATTTATTAAGAGACAAAATTTATCATTATGAGAGCAATGTAAAAATAACAGCTACTTGTACAATGTATTCACTTTTTATCATATAAAAACATGAACTTATATAGAGAATGTTCTTTATAAGACTGAACTAAAGGGTATTAAAATGCCATAATTTGTCTGCTTCAGCAAAAACAATGAAAAATCTTAAGGTACCCTAAAAATTTATTGTGTCATGAATGTTCCCAAACTACAGATTTCTTCACCAAATGCTGAAGAATTATCTTGAGAGGTTAGTATACATGCATCCATTGTTATGAAAGGGTAGATAGGAAAAAGAAGGGCTAAGGGGAAATGAAATGAAATGAAATGAAATGAAATGAAATGAGGGAATTATATTCAAATATTTTTTTATGAACACTGTTCACAAAACAGCTACTAATACAATACATACAATATGATAAGAAATATTCTTTGACTTTAACCAAATAGTGTATATGAATGTCTATTGACACAGTTTAAATAATAATATTTAAATGATATTTTTAAAAAAAGCCCCAACCATCAACAACACATGTTATTTCATTTAAGATTTTGACCATACCAGCATAAAATTATTTCCAACCTGATGTTCTTCTATGCCAGTCTTCTCCAACATGGTGCCAACTTCTATAATTTTGCCACCTGAACATCTATATGAGTTGATTTGGTTGGGGTAAGTTGTTCCACATCTTCCACACATTAACTCAGCTAAAGTTCTCAT